ACATGTCCATCATACATATTTGGGGCTAGGTCTCCAGAGATCCGGTTTCTGGAAAACCAGTTTTTCAGAAACTCTAAAAGCTAACCAAAACATTTCTTAATAAGTCATGATTGTAGCCCGCAAATTTCTGATTAAAATGAGACATCTGCCAGCTCTACATGATCTTTTTTTGCAAAGTTATAGAATTTACAAGAAAAGCCCTAAATTATTTATTGTCAGCTGAAAGCTGCAGAAATAAGAAATTAATTTAGGGCTTTTATTATAAATTCTATAACTTTGCAAAAAAGATCATGTAGAGCTGGCAGACATCTCATTTTAATCAGAAATTTGCGGGCTACAATCATGACTTATTAAGAAACGTTTTGGTTAGCTTTTAGAGTTTCTGAAAAACTAGTTTTCCAGAAACTGGGTCTCTGGAGACCTAGCCCCAAATATGTATGATGGACATGTTTGATCGGACATATATATCGTTGTAGAATTCGAGCTGCTCTACAACCCTGTATATACCACTATGTGTAACAAAGTTCCTTTTTTGGAAGTCTAAATTAAAACATTTTAGCCCTTTTTTCCAGGTCGAGCGTCGACATCTGGTGGGCACTGTTAGAATAGAAAGTCTTTTTGTTCATATGCTCACACGTTCCATCGAATACTGCGTGCAAAATAATAGTTCGGTTCAAGTTGAAAAGTCAAACACGGAAAATAAGGTGAACCATACTTTTAGGGTCAATTCGGCGCCAGTCCAACTTGTGATCCTCTGAACTCTTCAGGAAAGCAGCCTAGTCAAAACTTTTATCGATCAGAAAGAATCAGCATTCGAAGCTCTGACTCCTACGGAAATCTGAGAAAGTCACTGTAAAGGCTGGACAAGTACCATGGAAGTGCCCTAAGGCGAAAATAGATTGAAAATATTTTTAGATACGAGGAAGTCTAATGATGGTTACTAATACGAATAACGCAGAGCACTACTTTGTTAAATATAAATATTGAACGTTCGATAAAAGTTGCATCGCGTTGACGTTCGATCGCGTACTAGAAAGTTGACCGTAGCAGCTAAAATGTAGTAAATTTCGTAGATTTTGTCCCATATCGTAAAATATTAAAAAAGCCAAAAACGTTCTCCAACTAAAGAGCATAACTATCCACTTGATATATGTATATATAGTATAGTGGTTGCTAGAAATAAGAAGGCACTGGCCGAAAATTTCTGATCCGCACCCAGTCCAACCAAGAAAACTTGAGGCCCGACTCCGGCCCGATCAGTATTAAAAATTAAGGGGTCGACCCACGAACAAAAAGTTGTTTACAGTCTTTTGTGTCTTTAACACTAATAGGTCTGATTGACAAATTGCTATAAATTAGCTTTTAACACAACTCTATCATCTAAATTCCCATCCGAGCGCTCTGTACATCAATGACAAGGCTTTTATGAAATAAATTTCTTTAGATTAGTGATAGTCAGGACTGAGATCTAGCGATACCGTTATTCGAGAGAGAGCATATTTCTCAGCAGATGTCAGATCGATTAGGGACTGAGTGAATTGTAAAGGGGTACAATAGAGGACTTCCCTACAATATAAGACCCCCCTTAATATAAGACCCTTCTTGAACTAATAACGCAAAAAAACACAATAAAAGATCCTCCTTTTTTTATCGATGTTTTGGTAGGAAAATGTGATTATTTTTGCATTCAGTCACGCAGTATTTTCTCTCTCGTCTTTCTGCTCAGCTGCGCGAATAAAATCACAATTGATAGACGAGAAAAGTGAATACACGTGCGATCTTCAGCGTTGTGAGATGATGCGACGTGATGCTAATGCGATGCGATGTAAGAAGAGAAAAAAATTCCTGTAACCTCTCTCTCTTTGACGCTCACTTATTTTTACTCTCACCATAAAAGAGTCCGTTTGCTTAAACAATAACTGTAAAATGATAAAAAACGAGTGATTTAACACAAAGTTCTCATATTGTGTCGTTAAATTACGATGATAACGATCAAAATAATGATGAATCAAACTTAGACAGCAGTTCCATTGATTTTGATATTGAAATCAATGGTTTTCTACAAACATTAAATGACGATTCTGTTAAAGTGGATGTGGGATTAGGCTACAGATTAGGCAGCAGCGAAGAGAAAGAGAATGGATTACCAACGATTAGGCTCTCAAGCAAGCAATTTTATGCAAAAACCGGCTTTTCTTTATGACGCAATATAAGACCCGGGTCCTCTATTGTGTCTACTCCTTTAGATGAATGTTGTTTCCTGGTTAATTAAACAAAACTTATAGCTTTAGCTATAAATTAATTGCAACCTTTTAAAAGAAACTGAAGCTTTTTTATTCAATTATGTATAAGTTTATCTATATTTACCTTTCTTGACATTAAATGACTTCCATTGCTGCTGTTTAGTGAGAGAAATTTCGCTGTCACCTCTTCGTATTAAATTTAACAAAAGTTGTACATGTTCAGCAATTGTTGGATGTTTAAATAAAATTGAAATATTCATTTGATTGTTGTTAAGAATAAAATTTGATTGGTAATTATTGTATAATTTTACTAGTGACAAAGAATTACCACCTATTGAAAAAAAGTTTGAATTCATTGATATTTTATTTAAATTAAGTATTTTACATAGTATTTAGTTGTTTTTCGAAATCAGTTTTGGGTTTTATATAATTTATTTGTGTTATATCAGAAAATTCTGGTTGTGGTAATTGACTTCTATCAATTTTTTCATTTGTATTTAGTGGTAATTTTTCAAGTATCACATAATATGATGGTACCATATGAAAAGGTAAATTTTGTTGACAATATTCTTTTATTTGAGATTTTGTTGCTTCATAGTTTTCATCCTTAAATTTTTTATCTGATAGTTGTATATATGCAGCTAAATAATCTTGTTCTGTTTTATTATTATTATTTATTTTGATAACAACACAATTACTAATATCATTTGAACATGATAATATCACATTTTCTATTTCACCCAATTCAATTCGTTGTCCACGTAATTTGATTTGATTATCTTTTCTATCAGTAATTAATAATTCACCATTTAATTGTAATCTTGCTAAATCACCAGTACGATAGATTAGTCCTTCAGTTCTCTTTTCTGCTGAAATATTTGGTATAGTAATTAAAACTTGTTCTGTTAAATCAGGACGATTTAAATAACTATGAAAAACACCGGGACCTAGTAAAAAAGTAACAACTGATTTTTTTCTTTGTTTTACAATAGCATCATACGAAATTTTTATTCAAAGTAAAGTGAAAAAATAATTTTTAAAAGATAATAATCAAATTTCGTATTTTGTACATCTATTCTATACAAAAGCTTTGTCATCTTAGGTCCTATAGAGTAAAAGTGACACACTGCCCTCAAAGCGCATTTTGGTACTTACGGTGGACATGTCATTTCTTTTGTTAGAAACGTTAGTTTTTGGCTAAATGGAACTTTATATCGCTCATGAAATCTAATATTCAAACGAAAGCTTTTTAAAAAAATTTCCGTCAAAAAGTCCTAAGGGGAATATTTGCCCAAATTTTTTAGTAAAAAGTTGTGTCTGGAACATAAAAAGTGGCAAATTTAATTTTCTAAATTTTGTGTTGGGTCAGATTTCCCGATTCCCACTTCCAATCTCTATTTGGTTAGTTTGTAGAGAATTCAATTACGCATCTTTTTTAAAAAAATTCCAGTTATATTGCTTTTCTGTATTGAGATTAGGGATGCAACAGTACCGATAAACTGTAATTAACAGTTCACCAGTTCACGGTACCGGTTTCTTAACAGTTCTATGGTGTTGAAACTGGTTCTTACATAAAAAAGTATATCATTATTAATTTCGTTTTTTTGCAGAATTTTTGCAGAATGCCAGATTATCCTACTTTTCACTGCGCTGAAGTTTGAAAAAAGACAGCAATAAATCTCCTTAAAACATTGTAACCCACTTTGAGAAACTTACGAGAGTTAAAGAGCTGTTAAGGAACCGTTACTGTGAGCTGGTGAATCGGTAAGAAACCGGTACCGTGAACTGGTGCACCGCTAAGAAACCGGTACTATGAACTGGTGAACTGTTAATTCCAGTTTACCGATACTGTTGCATCCCTAATAGACCCGTTAAGGAGCCGTGAACTGGTGTCTCGATAACAAATCGGTATCGTGAACTGGTGAACCATTAAGGGACCGGTACGGGGAACTGGTGAACCGTTAAGGAACCGGTACCGGTAAGAACGAGTTAAACGATACCAGTTTACCAGTAAAGAACTGGTACTGTTGCATGCCTAATTGAGATATAAGAAAAATAGCAATAATTTTGGTACACCGGTAGAAAGCCGAGAAGGAAAAGCAGGATTCTTTTGTGACTAGGTCCTCACAATTGACCCCTTTTAGAACTTCTTCAATCTTTTCTCTTGAATCGAAACTTACATCTGGTGCTTATGAATAATAAATTAGTTTGGCATATTTGTCATGCGAAAAAGAAAAGTCGTATGTGTTACTGAATCATATTAAACATCGAAGACGGAACCTTTCATCTCATATTAGGGCGAGTTCAGGTTTCCACGACTTGAGCTATTATTGAACAAATAAGTGAGTGTAAAACATAATTTATTTCGTACTAGTAAGTCGAACTTAAAATACCGAAATTATTTTATCCCATAGCTCACAAAATCTGGTTTTGTACATAAAAGATCAATTTTTTAAATTCGAGAACATCAGAAAGAAAATACTTTTAGAATGAAAAAGCTCTCTCTTTAAAGAGCTATTCGTGGCTCTGCTCAAACACTGATTTTACCATGTTTTACTCGGGTTTCTCTTCAGGAACATGGTAAAATCAAAGTACATTATTCAAAAGTGGAGCTTAAAGTAACTACAGCAATTTTAATTTCAACACATCCTTGTATCCTTTAAATCGTTCCAACTCTTAATTGTTAAATAAACTAGTTTTACTTTCTTTGGAACTATCAAACATTTTTATGATCATCTGTAAGAAAACTAAAGAAAATTAAAACAACTTCAGAGTATTCTATTTTCTAACTATGTGCATTTCTCAATTCAATATGTGAGTAAACTCCAGTTTACACCTGGAAAAAAACTTCTAAGTTCGTACATTTTCTAAGAAAACAGATTAGTTTTACATCGTCAGAATGCCTTCAGCGTTTGTTAGATAAACATTTGCGTGACAATTTAAAATTTCTTAGTCATGATATTCAAAAATAAGTGGACAAAAACGGAAAGAAATGAAACAATCAAAATACAGAGGAGAATAAAGTGTATTCATTCTATCAACACATTCAGAAAAGAAAATCGCTGTTTGTCACAGTTCTACTAGATAGACTACAATAGGGCATAGGACCAATCTAGGATATATTCATTTCAGAGCAGAGGTGCAACCAGTATGGGTATACAGATACCGGTATGAATTATAACGCTGACCAGTACTGGAGTACAATCAGTCAGCCGATATTGCTGGCATTTTGTGGTATGATACGATTTTTTTCGAAAAACATCGTGTAAATTCAGTTCATCTTAGACATACTTCTTCCACTAAAATTTTATTCCAATTACTTAAGCTTTGTCGGCTTATATAAAGTTCTTAATTTAAAACTTTTTTGCTGCCGTATCTGGCTGGGCAGGACGCCCTGCAGTGCAAAAAGAACTTTTTCTTCTTAACCTAGGAGACTTTATCTTCAAGAAACTCATCACAAATATTGGATGTGTTTCTCGTGCGTAACAGAATCTTTTTTATTAATTATCAGTTTTAGAAAAGTTGGCTGTCATTTTTATTTAAAGAGTACACACAAAAGAAAGCAGAATTGAGCGACCGCTGTTATCTTCGTTGTTCAATCTCAAAATTTTACTTAAAAATAAGCTTAAAAATCTCAAAAATCAATCTCTCGCAGGACAAATGAAGAAAAGTTTTGTTGCTCTGCCCTGTTGCAGGGCAGCACAAGGCAACAGGGTAGTCCTGTCCTGTGATGGTCTCTGATTCATTTTCATTCGAACAACACAGATAAAAGTGTCCGTCGAACTATACAAACACGTCTTATTTTGTTATGTACTATGAAGTTTATTTTCCTTTCCACTTTTTGCAGTTTATATCTGCTATTTTCGATTTTTTCATACCAGAATTATGGTAAAAAAAATTATCCTCGGATGAAGTGAGCAGTACTATCGGACCAGTGGGCACAGGCTCAATCCCTGTCCACGTCGTTGTTTTTTTCTTTTTTATCCGGTCTAAGAAATTTTTATTATTTCAGAACTCTTCAGTGGTAGCAACTGAGATAAGAAACGAGAGCAAAGAGTGCAATCTCTTATACACAAATTAGTCTTTCGTTTTTGGCTGTTTCACGTCGTATAATACTTTTAACTCAATTAATGAAATTTTAATGCGAGCGTTGTTTCTATAGCTGTTTCTAGTCTTCCATTCGAACTCCGTATATTTGAAGCCCACTAGCCGACTGAGTCACGCTGTTCAACAATGTCTAGATCCGCCCACACACCAACCACCACCCAAGCTACGGGAAAGCCATATGTATCTTAAATTTTACCATTTTACTACAGCTGTCAGTAACTTTTAGTATAGCGTGAAAGAGAGCCAATGAAAAAGCACCAATCAGTCCTGTAAGAGATAAGTTGTTACTTGGGCGCTCTATAAGTGACTGCCCAAGCATGAATTCGTAAGCGAAAAAATCTAGATACACTTGCTGGGGTATCGCCCGATACTCCAGCAAAAGTATCTAGATAAAAGAGTAAAAAATATCGGGTTATNGTTATCTAGATGCATCGGGTTTTACTCGATTACACGATGCAATATCCGATGCATCTAGTAAGAAATTATGGTTGATAGAAAACAATAAGAACTCGGTACATCTAGCGATTAAGCGTACGGTTCGTCTAGCTGTTTAAAAAAAAGAATCGCTAGATATAAAAAGCGTTATAATTAGTTGTAAATCGAGGTGAAAAAAAAGGAAGAAAAAAACATAGCTCGTGCAGAGATTCGAACCCTGTACCTAGAGATCAGTAGTCTTCTATCTAAGCCATTGTACCACATGAGCTTACACAAATAGATATACATTTTTCATTCTCTTCTTGTTGTTAGGG